AACTTGAGGAAGAACTGTACATGCTTCCTCCAGGGGGTGTTTCTATCCAACCTGGATACTGCTGGAGATTGAAGAAATCCATCTACAGGTTAAAACAAGCTGGTCATACACCGAACAAAACTTTTGATTGCAAGCTCCAGGAGCTCGGTTTCACAAGACTAAATGCAGAAACATGTCTCTATGTATTCCGGGACAACAAACAAATATGCTTTGTTGTTGTCTATGTAGCAAAACCTCCTCCTAGGAGCTTCATCCCGAAAATTCATGGATATCACACAAGCTAAACTTGAATCCATATTCAAAATGTGGGACCTTGGAGAAGCAAAATTCATCCTTGGAATAGAAATCCAACGTGATTGTTCAAACAAAACAATATCCCTATTGCAACGCCAATACATTGACACAGTCCTGGAGCGTACTGGAATGAAAAACTGCAAACCTGTATGGACACCAATGGCCCATGGATGAAAACTCCTTGCAAATGCTCCAGGGGAAGATATTGTGCAACATGAGATGCATATTAAAGGGCGTCAAGTGTCATACCTCTCAATTGTAGGCTCCCTCATGTATGCCATGCTCGGAACTCGCCCAGACATTGCCTATGTTGTTGGAATACTAAGCAGGCATAGCTCAGCTCCAAAGAGCCATCACTGGGAAGCTGCAAAATGTGTCCTCCAATATCTGAAAGCAACCAAGGACATGGAACTACAATATGATGGCACAGATGTCTCCATGGACATGGATTTCTATGGATATTCAGATGCAGATCGGTCTGGAGACCCAGACACGTCTTGATCAACATCAGGGTTTGTCTTTATCACCATCCGAGGAGCAATCTCCTGGACAAGCAAAAGACAAAGCATGGTTGCTTTATCCTCCATGGAGTCAGAGTACATTGGATTGAGCAATGCTGGACAACACCTTGCATGGCTTTGGACATTTTTTGAAGAAATTGGACATGCTCAAAATGGACCTACAATATTGCACTGTGACAATCAAGCAGCTATCATTCTTACACGAGATCCGCAGTTCCGTGCTCGCACAAAACATATTCAACGCAAATATCATTTCATCCGAGATGACTTAGTATCAAAGGGAGAAGCAGTAATCAGATACGTTCCTACAGGAGATATGGTTGCAGACATTCTCACTAAACCCCTTACTCACGAAAAACACTGGAAATTCTCTAAAGCTATGGGACTACAGTTGCACTCAAGTGGGAGTGACAAAACCGGATAAACCCGGTCTCTGCCGAAGCAGCCATTGTTCTCCATAGAGCATAGCCACCACTCCATGGAGTAACCATTGTTCACCTAGGAGTCATTATACTGTAGGGAGTAGCACCTCCGACTATAAGTAGTAGGGGGTTTAGTATAGGAATACCTCAGTCGTTTCTATAGCCTCTTGGGCAGCGGCTGAGTTTCACTTAGTTTTATTAATTTCCCACACTCCTACTCACCTGTAGGGCTACAATACCTGCCTTCAAATATATGTTTCTGCAATCTCATATTACAGATCTGCACAACTGATATGACAACGCCAACAAGACACAGTCTTGGGGCACTGGAGCACAATGAAAAGAACACTCAAAAGAAGAGGAAGAGGTGGGAGTGGTTACCCATTTGGTAGGAGTGAGTTAGTTGGTTAACAACAGGAGGACTCGCTGAGGAGTCTCCTTGATCTATTGGGGTATATATACTACTACAGGTTTGTTTGTACATATGTACTATACAGTTGTAAGTAAGGTTTTAAAGTCCTATGTTGAGCATGTGACCAGTCACATGATGAGTCTAGACATTGGACAGGTGATGAGTCACATAACCGGTCATGTGACTATGAAAAGTCAAAAATGTAAAGTAAAGTAAATGGTCACATGACTGATCATGTGACTTGGAAAAAGTAAAAGTAAAAGTACGAAAAAGTGAAGTGTAAGTAGGTGCTGGTATGTCAATTGTAACAAGTGAAGCCTTTCAAATGCAGGCATGCTGAGGACATACCATTGGCAGTATTATTAATATTATCTGTGATAGAAGGACATAAAGACACAAAGTACTAATCTATCATACTCACCTAGACTTTTAGTAGTATCAGCCAAACAATATTCTGGAGCCTTACCTCAACTACATAACAGCCTGACACAATTCTCCAGTTCAGGCTCCGCTCAAATATGTTCCTGCACATTAAGCCAGCCACTGTGTGATATTTTGAGCAAAGTGGCTCAAAGCGCTGGAACATATTTGAGGGGAGCCTGAATACCTCCAAGAGCAGTCACTGAGGTACTAGATACAAGACACTAACTAGACTTATTGTCAGGCAACAAATATGAAGCTATATAACAAAACACAATGCCTGGTCAAGTCCTTGTTGGAAGGCGATGAATCAGGGTATGAGGATGAAGAGTATTGGTATAAGCGCAAATCCAAACTAATATTGAACTAGAGAACAATACATCGAGTATGTACTTCTTTATATAGTGAACGGCAATGGTCAGACCGAGAAAGGGAAGTACTGAGAAAGTGGTCTGACTAGCTAGCTAACCAATAAGAAAAAAGGAGCAAGTGGTCCGATCTATCGTATTTACTAATCGTATGAGAAAATGTATTGGTAAGGGATGTGCGATTGGCTGTATTAGTAAGCCCATGAGAAGGCGCTGACTCACAACCTTCTTTGCTTATCAATATTCCTCCAAAGTATTCCCAGACATAGCACTGGATTGTGGCTATGTCATCTGGATATCTTCTTGAGGGTTGACAACAAGTTTACCTCGTTGTAGGTACGATAGAATGTGAGTGTGAAGAGAGAATAAGAAGAAAAATGATAAAAGCAATAAGACACCTGCTGTAATCTCTAGTCTAAGGGCAAGAGGAGTGACGGGGATTGAGTCTGCTAACCACGACATGACGGGAATGCGATAAGAAAAATCGATTCCTCACACTTATAGATCTGTACTGATACTTTTTGTGACTCCAGCTCACATGCTTAAATACTCTGGTAATGGCCCACATTGGTTTTACTATATGGTATTGTTGATTTTGGCATGCAATATAAGCACCACAAGTCAAATCCTCATTTGTTGTAGTATAATCACTTAAATTCTATTATAAAACTATTAATTACTTTGAGCTGATCTAGGTGGCTTTGTTTTGCTTTAATTGCAATAATAGTGGTATAAATGCAGCACAGTGGCTTCTATACTGATATAGTGCAGTATTTGCCACAAATGCTATATTTGGTCTATTACCCAATTACATCCAAGTATATCCAGTTATAGTAAAGTCGTGTTTTCCTGATGGGTGAGTAGGAGCTGGGATTGCTGCTTGTGAAGGTGGGGGACCCTGATTGTGAATTGGGTCCCAGTTGTTTCATGGGGCTGGCAGACCAGCTTGTGTGCTCCCCAAGGCGGTCAAACCTTGATGGGATGGTGAAGAGCAGTGAATAAAGCCCCTGATGCTTTCTGCTCTGAGGCTACTGGCTTCTGGGACTTGCTCCCCAGGCTTGCATCGTTGTCCCAGACGTACTTGTACTTCTCCCAGCTGCACTTGTTGCAGGATATCCTCTAGTTCTTTTTCTGCTTACTCCTTCTCATAGTACAGGTATACTTGTTTATTTTGCACCACTTGCACCCCTCTCCCATACTCTTCCTCTGCAAATCCTCTACGCCCCCGGTAATCTTTACCACCACCCTTGGCTTTTTTTTCCCCTTGCTATGTGGAGGTGCTATTGTGTCCATGGGAGCTGGGGGGTCCAGGTACTGACCGCTTGATATCCTGGGGCGTGGGTGCATGTGTTAGTTTTGGTGATTCTGCACCTTTGTGCTACCTATATATTTTCATTCCTTTCTCTATCTATTCTTCTATCATTCACTATTGATTGTGTTCTCTATTATTTTGCCTTTGTGGCTGCTTTGTTTACCTTTGTTTACAAAACTTCGGACAGTACTGCAGAGTCCAATGCTTCCTATTCTCTAGTTACTCACATTGGACTCTAGGTACTGTATACCTGTCATACTCTCTAATAATATAGTTACTCACATTGGACTCTAGTTCCAGTCCCTGATTGCTCTCAGCAAGTGGCTAGACACTTCCTTCAAGCTTTGTTCTTAATAGCATGTACTTGGGGCAAGGTGGCTTTGAGGGCCTGGGAACAGGGGGCATGGATAGCAAACACTGGGGAAGAGCTGCCCTCTTTGCTTACTTCAATAACACCACTGTTATGCAAGCAATATTGTGTTTTCTTTTACCAGTAGCAGGTGCCGGGGGCTCTGTGGTTGTTCTGCTGTTGTTGCAATATGTAAGGTGGCAGACCCACAATATGGAATCACTGTTAAAAAAAAAAGTCAGTAAGTAATTGAAAAAGAATCAAAAGATGAAAACTCTCTTTCCATCCACCACCTATTATCACGAGCCTCTGTGCTCTCATGAGTCTGTCTCTTGGGATTAAACCAGACAAATCCTTCTACTGTCTCATTTTCTCAGCAGATCATAGACAGAGTAATGCCAGGCTTTGTTTCTGTCTTTTATTGTGTCTGTCCCACTCACTACCTCCTGGTCCCTTTTGAATAGGAACCCAGGGCCAGTAAATAAGAGCCACCTTGATGTGCTAGTGTTACAAATTGTACTTAAACATAGACTTTATTTCCCTTCACAAGTGGCTACACTCCGCTACCTGCATATACCTTCCCACACACATTGCCTTTTACAGTACCACCCATCCTCTTTTGTTCAACACAAACACCTACCCTAAAGTAGACACTATATATACAGACCTGTATTATAGTTACTATCTCCAATATGATTATACACTTCAACAGTGTAACTTGGTATTCATTAGTTAAAACCCTCATCATCAGAATACGTCTCAAACTCGTCGACGAGCTTATCAGAAACCACTTGTATATCCGAAACCCAGTGTTACCAGGCTTGCACATTCCAAGCGTAACAAAACAATTGTATTCATCCACATCCCACGCTTTATAGTGAAGGGACAAAAAAGACGACAAAATGTCGCAAGGAAGAAGGCCCACCATGAGGGCACAAACCAGAGCAGGACCAACACAGACAGCAACACCACCGACGTCATCCCAACAAGAAAGAATAGCAGCACCACCTCCCTTTCCCCAACCAGACGTAACCCAACTCCACACCACAGAACAAGCAGATGTTTTCTACGAAGCAAGAACATGTTGGCTACAATACTACGCAGAAAGCCACCCACAGCTACTACCCACAACACAACACAATCCCCCAATAACCGTAGAAAACCTCTACAATGAGAACAACTTTGAAGAATTCACGGCAAATGGTGACCCGATACCACCTCCCACACCACAGATCCTTCCCACAGCACCCGATCCATCCCCACTTCCACCAACACGCACCATGTCTAACGCTACAGCATCCAAACCCGCTAAATTCGGACAAATAGATAAATTTGATGGCATGCCCGACCGAGCAAACAGATGGATGTTATCAGCCAAAGCATATTTTGACGTAAATGACACCATCTATGACTCGGACAAAAAAAAGGTCTTCAAAGCACTTTCCCACATGAAAGAAGGAGCAGCCCTGGCATGGAAAGAAACCAAATTAACGGAATATATGGGATCGGGCAGATACCCAAAATGGGTGGACTTCAAAACCAACTTTAACGGAACATTCATTACCGCAAACGTAAAAGGGGCGGCCAGTGCGGCCCTCATGACAATGAGAATGGAAACAGGAGAAACAGCAGTACAGTTCAACTCTAGTTTCATGGTAAAAGCAGGAAAGAGCAGCTTAAACGATGAAGGACTAATCATGGTATACAAAAGCTCTATATGCCCATACCTTCTTCAAAATGTACTCAACTCCTCCATACAACCCAAAAATATTGCAGGATGGATAAGCACAGTTACTGGCCTAGATGCCAACTGGACAAACTCAAACAGCATCAGTGAAGGAAAATAGGGGAAAAAAGGAGAAAAGAAGAAAGAGGAGAAAGGAGGAAGAAGCCAATCGTCCTCGGCAAAATGTTTAACCAAAGATGAAGAAGACTCGCTCAAAAGAGAAGGGCAATGCTTTATATGCAAAGAACAGGGACACATCTCACGGTTCTGTCCGGAAAAGAAGAAAGGAAAACAACCAGATCAAAGGATCAGAACAGCAGAAGTTGAAAAGGATGAAGCCGAAACGGTAGTGGATAACGGAAAAGGGATTTCTCACATCCTCAAAATGTGGAGAGAACTCAACAAAGCAGATTGAGCCAGCATCATTGATGAATTGGAAAAAGAGGGTTGTTGAAAGGACGACCCACACCAATGTTGGTACTTGTCCAAAATAGCCGTTGTAACAATAGCCACAATCAATTCAAACTTGTTATGAATTGATACCACATTACGACAAAAAACCATTGGAACAAAAGCATTAATAGATTCGGGAGCAACAGACGACTGCATGGACGCAAAATTTGCAATCAAACATCGCCTACCACTCAACAAACTGGAAACACCCATCACGTGCAAAAACGTAGATGGAACCATCAGCAACGGAGGAAAAATCACCCATTACACATATCAACAAATTGAAGCAGGAGGAAGGAATGCCATGTGCAAATTCCTCATCACCGGATTAGGAGGAGAAGACATTCTCCTAGGATACCCGTGGCTCCACAAGGTTAACCCCACAATAGACTGGACATCAAAAAGCATGAATACCCAACACGCCATCCGCACCATCCAATCACACTCCAACCGATCCATGATTTGCACCATCACAATCAATCAACCAGAACTATTGATCAACTACGTACACGAAACACGGATCTTTGCGAAAACCAACACTGCAATGGAATTAGCTATCCAGAACAACATTGGGAAAAAGATAACGGAACTACCCGGAACCTACAAAGAGTTTGCACAGGTCTTTGACAAAAAAGGCTTCGGAAAGACTACCCAAGAGAAGGATCTACAATCATGCCATAAACCTAAAACTGGAGTTTAAACCAAAAGATTGTAAAATCTACCCTTTATCACCAAAAGAAAACACCGCACTCGAAGAATTCCTTGACGACAACCTTTGAAAAGGATATATCAGACCAAGCAAATCTCCAATGGCTTCCCCCTTCTTTTACATAGACAAAAAGGATGGATCTTTGCGACCATGCCAAGACTATTGACAACTTAATGAGACCCCTACCCACTACCTATGATCCCCGACCTCATAGACCGACTCCGCGGAATGTCCCACTTCACATAATTAGATCTATGTTGGGGATATAACAATGTCAGGATAAAAGAAGGAGATGAATGGAAGGCGGCATTCAAAACCCAAAAAGGACTCTTTGAACCGACAGTGATGTTCTTTGGCATGTGCAACTCCCCGGCCATGATGAATGACCTCTTCACGGACATGATAGACAAAGGATAGCTTATCATATACATGGACAATATGCTCATATTCAGCAAGGAACCAGAAAAACACAGCCTACGGACAAAAAGGGTATTGCAACGCCTGAGCAAAAACGACCTATACCTGAAACTAGAAAAATGCACGTTTGATGTAGCCAAAATTAAATATCTCGGCATGATCGTCTGTCACAACCAGGTGCAAATGGACCTAGTAAAGCTATCACCATGCAGGAAAACTATTGACACATTAGGAACGGCTAAATTATTTCACCAACACGTGTTCAAAAGATTTGGACTACACAACAAACTCATATCCGATAGAGGACCACAGTTCACATCAGAAGTTACCAGGGAACTAGCCAGATTACTCAAGACCGGAGTTAATCTATCAAAGGCATACCACCCTTAATCTGATGGAGAAACAGAAAGGGTAAACCAAGAGATAGAAACATATTTACGGATCTTCTGCAACAATTTACCACACTCTTGGACAGAATATCTCACAATGGCAGAATCCTGCCACATTCATAGACCACATTTGGCACGGAATAAATCCCTATTCTATCTCATGATGGGATACCATCCTAGGGATCTCCCCTCAACACCAATAACAACCAACATACCGGCCGTAAGCAAAAGACTATCTAGCTTACTAGAAGCAAGGACCATAGCCTTGCAAGCCCACAAACTAGCAAGAGCACGCATGCAAAAATACTCACAACATCTGTTACCCATATTTACAAATGGACAAAAGGTTTGGCTAGAAGCAACTAACCTAAAGAAGAAAGGAACACCCTACAGAAAGTTCAATTGGAAGTGAGAAGGACCCTTCATCATCCTTGAAAAGGTATCACTGGTTAACTACCGACTAAAACTCCCAGATGTGTGGAAAATCCATCCCGTATTCCACGCCGCCCTTCTAACCTCGTACAAACAAACCGAAGCTCACAGAGAAAACTACATCAGACCACCAGTGGAGATAATCAATGACCAAGAGGAATACAAAGTAGAAGCAATTCTACGTAACAAAAAGAACCAAAGAGGATATTTAGTCAAATAGAAGGACTATCCATCGGCCGAAAACTCCTGGGAAGAAGAAGCAAACCTACGGAATGCTTCCAAAATCCTGAACAAATATAAAAGAAGACATAAACTGTGAAACAAATGGACAGGATTCCCTCTCACAACCACTTTCCAAAAACACCATGTCCCAGACCACACCCATCGACCAACAAACCCATTCCCCCTGTTTTCCCCCATACCTCGCCGAACCCCAAGTGCTCACTGAAGCACAATGGGCACACTGCCTAGCCCTTACTTGTGAACAGACCAACATTGTCGACGCCACCGAACTGATGTCAGATAGGCGCACCTACCTTTATCTTTTTCACCAGTCTAACATTATATGCCCCACTGCCACATACCCACTGGACATGTTTCATCGTTGGCGAAACGCACTCCTTGTTGCTGACGAACTACATGCAGTCACCGTCTCACTGGGTTCATTGGTAGACGAGCTTACACGCGACAACAATTCCATATTGAGTACTGGAGCGACTTTGCTCATGGAACACTTGCAGATAGAATCCCTAGAACGACGCTTGAGGAAGAATTGTGAGAGTGGAGAGAAGGAAGCAGTCGAAGCATTCCTACACCTAGGTGGCCAAACCGTATGCACCAACGCAAAGACCTGCTCGCCCAATGAGGGTACCTTACCTCCCCTCCCCCCGATTTGCTGAACCTTCCCGCAACTACAAGGCACCCCTTTCCAGGTTGTCACCCCCCAGTCTCACCGCAGTCACCTCAACTAGCATATCCCCCATCTCCGCCAGATCCTGTTCTACCCGCGCCCGCTCCACCATCCCCAACTTGTTCCTTTGCAACCAACTCAATAGTCCCCAAAGCCAATGCAGTAGAAGAATTGCAAGTCATATCAATTCCTACGCGTCCAACAACACCCCTCCTCCAACTCCCTCCACCTTGTCGCAGTCGCCGATTACGCAGGCAGTGCCCAAAGCCGGTACTCCTTATCCCTTTGGGGCGCACATCCGCTCACATGAATCGCTCTCAGGAGTTGAACAGGAGGTCGAAACCTACGTCAAGCAACGAGTTGCCTCAGGTTGGAAGGCCATCTAGGAGCAATGAAGGAGCTACCTTGGCTTCTCCGTGTTGGAGCAAAAAGCCCTCACCCATCTCTGACTACTCTAATTCTACCCATTTGCAATCCTCTTCTGAACAACGCCGTCGCCCTCGTATCCGACGTTGCTATGCCTGTCAAGAATATGGCCATTGTGCCATCTACTGCCAATACCATACCTGCTCTGCGTGTGGTTTAGGCGCGCCCGGATACCGAGCTAATGAGTGCACATCAGGAAAAATGGGGGTAGCTATATAGAGCTCTATAGCACTATAAGTACTCATAAAACTGTTATAGCGGTCAAACCTGCTATAGAACCTCTGCCATCTATAGAGCCTCATATAGCTCTATAAATGCTCTAATAGATGTTGGAAATTGTTGTGTGGCAGATTAAAAAAATGAACACAGAAAGGATTTGAACTCTCAACCTAGTAGTCAGCTTTTGGTTGACTAAGCAACCTATAGCCACAACATCACACATTTATCCACTACACCATGAGAGCTTATAAAATGTATTATACAGGTGTTATATATTGACCTTTCATGGACTTAGGTTATTTTTTTACTCATTGTCACCACTTATATTTGGATAAATCATTATTCTTATTTTTATAAATATCAAAGATACAAACTACTATTTCACTAATACAGGATACATAATTGATTAATACTGTATGATTTATTAGCGCTTTTAAGCACCTTGAACTATATTATAGCTATGGCCTTTACAACTATAGGAGCTATGTAGGCTGCTATAGGCTATAAAAGCACTTATAGTACCTTGCCTATAATAATATACTTGACTCCAAACACTTCTGGCCTCTTTCTATTATTGAACAAGTTTATCAGATTAATCCAGAGTTTAAGGGAATTATAGGATACTTCTCCCCTTGGTTAAAATTTTGCCTACTACTGTGCTATAAGAGCTATAAGAGCTATGATTGCACTGATTGCACTATAGTTTCTATGAATGCATTTATATATATAGGTGGTGGCTATATAGCAAAAGGGTTTTTCCTGATGCAACCGGCAACGCAACTTACCCTTTGTGGCAGACTCTTGGGGATTGGATGATGAGCACAACGATCTTGATGAAGACGCACAATACAATGTAGACGGAGAACTAGGAGACTTTGGAGCAGTGTTACCAGGCTTGCACATTCTAAGCATAACAGCTAGTTGACTTGGTAGATTTTTCCTTGGGTAATGAATGTTACAATACACAATTTCTGGACTTTCAACTTTCACTCTCCTCTTTAAACTTTCTTTCACTTTTAGATACTTATGCCATACAGCACTTTCCTCTTATTTTTAAACTCCACTTGTATCTTTGCTTTCTCTTGTGCTGCGTGGCTTCTTTGTATTTTTAGTCAAAACTCTCTCACATGAGCTGGTCACATAGGCTGTGCTCAATGACATCATCATCCACCACCTTTAGCAACTACATAGTACACACATACAAATACCTTGTAACAGTATATATACCCCAATAGATCAAGGAGGGTCCTCAGTGAGTCCTCCTGTTGTTTACCCACAACTAACCCGGTTCCACCTAAGAGATTATATCCACTCCTTCACTCAGCTTTTGCTTGTTTGAGTTGTGTACCAGAGTGATGTGATGTAGATAGTATTGTCTGCATGGTTGAGATGTTGAAGGGTTCAGACACTAATACAATACACAATTTTTGGACTTTCAACTTCTGTCTCCTTCTTCATCAGGAAAAACACTTTGGCTATATAGGCTCTTATAGTACTATAATTGCAAAAATAGCTGTCATAGTGATCATAGCTGTAAGAGAGACCCTATCATCTATTTAGGCACAATGTGCTCTTATAGTGATCTCATAGTTGGCTATAGTTCCAAGAAGCACCTATAGTAATATCAATACTACGATGGCATTTGGAGTAGACATAGGGCCCATAGCACTTATGGCAATTATAGCACTTATAGCACACATATAGTAATGCTAATACTATAATGGCATTTGGAGTAGCCATAGCACTTATTTCAATTAGAACATCCATAGTACCTATAGCACTCATAGCACGTATTGCATTCAATTACCAAATAATGAAATAAAAACAGCGCAGTCATATTTTATACTAGCAATTGTACTATATGCAACAGTAAATAGGAGAGTGACTACAAATACTATCAAGCAGCTTGTGCAATGATAATCACCTTTAGAGCTTCAAAATCAATACCAAAATCCTCGTCCTTCATCTGGTCTTCATCAATCCCTAGATAATGGAGATTGGCCAGATTTCTGTTATAGTAAAATGAGTGATGGTGGTAGCAGCCAAAATACTGGTACTTACAGAATATCCTGGTACAGACCATCTCTCATTTGCTTCATCCACACAGGGCTTTTCTTCTGAAGCACCAACAGCTTTTTGAAATAGTACTCCCACCTTTAAATAAAATAAAAACCAAGTTTGACATAAATAAATGATATTGTACCTGGTTTTGAAAACACTCTCTGAGAATTCTTGGGTAGCTTTATTACCATTCACATATCCCCTGAGGGAACATTTAATCTGAAAAGAAAATGGAATAAATAAATAATACAGACCACAGATTGAGGACATACAGCTACTGTGGTAATTACAAGTAAAGCTAAAGGAATGCCTTTGAAATGTTCAGGATAGTATACTCCCTCACCTTTACGCCCATACCCTTGATTATAAATCAAGTCCTTGAGAACCTGATGACAAAATGGCTTCTGCTTGTTGAATGTCCTGGCCTTGAAGAAATAGTTCAATTTAGCATAAACATAGGAGAATGATAGCTCACTTTGATATTAAGATCACCGTCAGCAAATGCACCAGTTTCTAAAAGCCACATTACAGCCTGCTTGATTTGAACTGGGGCCATATCACCAGGAATTTGATAAGCACCATTGATTATGATGCATGCTTTGGCAACAATTTCTCCTTGGACCTGGGCAACAGCAGACCAAACCTAGCAACAAGATACTTGATTAGTATAACATTATTGGAGGTGGAAATACGTACATAGTCAATCAATATGGTTTTGATTTCTTCATTACTTTGAACCTCTAAAAGCTTGGTTTGTAATTCTCTGCAACCTTGGGAGGCATTGATAAGTCTGTTCCAAGTAAACTTGAAGCGTGATATGGGGGGAGGAGAACCCTCTTGAGTCGCAATGTATAATCTCATTGTAGTATGCCCAGCTGTAGCAAGGTCTACAAGAGAACTAGGAAACATATCCAGGGTGATTCTACGTCTTTTGCCAATTTTCAACAGTAAAGAGACAGCCGTAGGTGTTGAGATAGAAGTAGAAGTTGAAGACATCCTGGATGAAAGCGTGGAAGATTTTCTGGAAAAACTAGAAGAAGAGGAGTACACTAATGATTTAGCCTTTTCATGCCCAATAATGGGTCTGAAATTGGGCTAATATAAACTGTTAGCTCTATGGATATAAGAGATACTAATTTAAAGACGTACTTGCTCATCCAGAATTGGTCCATCTTTTCCCCCGTCATCGAAATCTTGGGTAACAATTTAATATCAGTATTTTTGTCTAGAAATAATGATTGCTTACTTTCAGCTCTAGCTTTCTCATCCTCATCCTCGTAATACTCATCATTATCCCCTGTAGGTGCTTTCTGAGTTACAATCCCTTGAAAATCATCCTCATCGGAACCATGGTCTGAGTCCATGGCTTGTCATTTTCTAGGAGGGTTTAGTGATGTAACTGGGACATCATCATAGTCGTAAATATCCTCACATCATAGTCGTAAATATCCTCTTCTTCTATTACAACAGCTGCCCTTTTCCTGTCTCTGAGAGGGGAGATCAATATAATTTTACCAAACCAGAATATATATGTTACCTTAACGTTTGGCTTCCAATGCCTCTTTTTGAGCTGCTTAGGTAGATTGCACACCAGAATTCATAGCATCCACAATATGCTGATACTCCTCAGCATTCAAAGTAACTGTATTATTTTTAGCCTTGGAGCCAGGAGCTTTGAATTTACCCTTGGAATTTCTTTTGCCTGCCATTGAAAAATTAGACTGTGAGAAATAAGTGAAAAGAGAATGGAGCGCAAATGAGAAGTCACCATTTTTCTGCAGAGTTTAGGGCAAGCCTTCTAGGCCAAATACAATTATACCTGACAAGTGCCACTGAGATTTGGCTGAAAAACAATGTGTACAGTAAAGCAATATATCAAACAATGTACTTATACAAAGGTCCTCATGGCTTCATTTTCCATCCAGCCATTTCTATCAGCAGCCCAAGAAACAAATTCATGGTCAGTATGGAGCACTACGGATGCACGTTTACTTTCATAATGAAGGTTGAGATGAGTGATATCAGATGACCTAAAAATAAGTCCCCATGGTTCAGCTCAATAACAAAGCCTGTCTCAACCATGGCAAGAACAGCCCCCTTAAATGTTCCAATGGGGAGAACAAGACAAAGCTCCTGATCCTTGCTATCTCAGTGAGCTTTTGTTTGCACGTTGATGTTGATGACAATTGATAAGATGGGGGCGGCTGGGGAGCAATGGTTTCCTGGTAAGATAGATGCAACTTGCTCAAGCATCTGACACTCTTCAGGCAGGTGGGTTTGCATCTGATACAATGCTGTGAATAAAGAGGGAGTACCACTTACAATACAATGTATCCAGTTAAACAGTTTTTCAAAGACAACTTTGAGGGACTGAAATAATTCCTGGTTATTATTGACGTCCTTGGGTATATAGGGGATCATCTGGCTGTGATTGGTACATTTGCAGCCTACTTTGTCAAGCATAGACGGTGGCACACCGGATGGGGCTTTGTGACCCTGTAAAGGATTAGCATTAAGTGAACATATGGTAAGGAATTACTTTACCTTGGTACAGTGACAGTTGTACCATGACAAGTGAAGTGCTTCAAATGTAGAGTCAGCATCTACTCGAGTGTTCTTCTCTGCCAATAGGTCAGATTTCCCAAACACAGCTAGTAGGTTACCTGTGAGAGAATTACAAATTTTTGCTGGAAGATTGGTACATATGAATGCCATGAGTGTCTCATCAGAATTCCGATAAGTGAGTGAGCAATCAGTGATTAGAAAGTTATGGAAAACTTACTTGGGAATAGCATCCATAGGGATACAAATGTAGGCGTCATCTGATACCTTTGTTCCTTCCTTGTAGTGCACATCGAGCTGGCGATGCAAATAAACAATTAGAGGGCAATAGTGTAGAAAACTGATTGCATACCTGTGATTGCAAATCTTTTATGTTTTTAACTTGGGCACCCTTCTCTGCACGCTCATGTTTATGCTCTGTCCATACATTATTAGCTTGACAATCACGCTTAGCTCAAAAACACTTGTTTTGAGGCAGAAATTGGTCATAAGTTGTGCGTATAATCGTTTTCTCCATCCCTATACCTTTTGGTTGGATAGCGGGGGGCGGGTCTGGGTCTTCTTCAGCATCCAAAAAGTCTTGTGAGTCTGATAGAGGAGGGCTATATGGTCTGGGCAGGAAAGACGACATTGGTGCAAGCAGCTCATAGCCAAGCTGATGGAGGGGGATAGGAGGATTAGCATTGACGTCAATGGTAGTATTGTAACATGATGCCCAGTGTTGAATATTGCGATTGTGTAACGTAAAGTTGCTGTGCCATGTAAGAAAAATGAAGGATTATAGTGATGAATGAGTGATGCTCACTTGAAGACAACAGAGTCAAAAAATCTATCAGAAGATGCAATATCAGTGCAATCAAACTCGCCAGAAACTTGGTGCTCTGAAAGTGTTGATGGGGAGAACATTGATGCCATACTAATTGGGAACAGATGACACATGCAACTGATAGTTGGTATGATACTATTTATGATTAAATCACCCTCCAACAGCTCCTGACTGACAAGTTATTCAACCAATTTTTATTGTCACAAATCATACTTACCCGGGATATGAGATTGTAGGAGGTTAGCCAAGTCCCAAGGCAAGGAGCCCTCCATTCCACCAATAGATACCCTAAGACCAAGTCCCGCAACCAGGATCAGTATATAGACTGACCCCCCTCCAGCAATTGCAGCAAATTTACTGCCAATTGAATGCCAATCTTGAAAGGTTCATTTGCTAGGTTTTCCTGGGAGATGTGCAACTTCTGTATTGTAGATAGCATTGAAAGACTGTTGGGTATGCAATTTGCTGCTAGAGAAGAGATGGTAAATCAGATGTTAGTGAAATAAGAATAACACAGGCCCTCACCTCTGGCACTTTGTCACCAATTGCATGGAATTTATTATCAACAGAAAATTGACACAAATATCCTTGCCACTAATACCTCTGCATCTCTGCACCACTGAGCCTAAGCTCTCATCCACATATCCATTCCCCTCTATTGCCGATTTTACACTGTCAATCCAAACACTGGGGTTATGAACATCTGAGTCCCAGTGTGCAGATGCCAGAGTTGCAACAATGGCGTTAATATTGTTGCTAGAATTGTGCCAAGCAGTTGTTTGTCTTCTGCAGACACTTCCGCCATCTCTCCGTGATAGGACAAATGCAACACCCCCCCTTGGACACGCCAATTGAGCTTGGGACTTGGCAGCATCATAAGATTCTCCCCCAGTTTTGCAGCGGTGACTCTGTTTTTTTTTCAAGCAATGGTGGCGCATTGCTGATGCTGATACTGGTGCTGTAGCATTAAAATTTGCTTTATCTATCTCATGTTGACCAGTAGCCATCTGAGTCCTTGGTACGCACTGAGAAGGCGGTGATCCCATATCAACCTGTGGAAGTGAGAAGTTGGGAATGGGACATTGTGAAGAGGTAGCAATGAGAGGTGATGGAAGCAAGGATATGGAAGAATGAGGTGTGAAAAGGGAGACATTGATAGGTACATTGATTGTAGCAGGAAGAGAGCGATTCCAGTTCAAGTTCTGTGGTGAAGACTGCTAGGGCAGGGGCTCATCCCATATATTTGTCGCATTCAAATTGACCACACTGCTGGAATAGGTAGTATTCTGGCTTGCCGCCCAGGAAGAAAGTTCCTGTTGAGGGATAGGATTGTTGGTGTGTTCACCTTGACCCATGGATAGCACAGAACATGATGATGATCCATAAGTGACCAGTACAGATAAGTTTGAGCGGAAAATCACAAGGTTTGGTGGTAGGTTTGGGCTGTTGTTGAGCAGTTGAAGTAGAAGTAGAAGCTCCAAGTCATGGGTATGCATGTCAAGAATACAGAGCAATACCTCAGTATCGGATATGGACAATTTCATGGCTTGGTAGTTGGCAGTTGGCAATATGTCCCAGAAAGGAAAGTGCTCGAGTGCTCGAGCACTTTCCTTTCTGGGATATACTGCACAAGCACCAATTGCAAGCAGAATATGTTGGTAAAGGTGCTCAATTTCACGGAACAACTCCCATATTGCAAGAAGACAACAAGAAGTTGTGGGATGTGGGCAAGATACAGGATATAAGTGAACATACTTCCCTGACGCATACAAAAAGCACATCCTAATGCCAAGACACACCTTTCTAGCAAAGTTTGATCCACCCTCCCAGATGGGCACTCTAAATTTGAAAAAACACGTAGCAAAAAGTGCTGGCCTTTTACTGAGGAGGGGGATTGGGCTTTGGTTGACCAATATGACATTTTTCCTGCTGCTTTTGCGCCCGACTTTGCTTTGCTTGTACAGTGGAAACACCCAGAATCTAATCTAATCAAAATATTTCCTTTCTGGGACTTACTACCAAAAACTCTCCACTAATACATATGGGAAGTGCTCATGCACTCGAGCACTTCCCTTTCTAGGATGTACTGCTAAAGCCAAAGCTCTATGAATACACTGCCAATCGTCCTCCCACAGACATGGGAAACGTCCAGGTTAATTTAAGCTCAATGCGGAACTCCCTCTGGAGATGGCAAAGGCAGAATAGTGAATATGCTGGTGGTAGATGAGTCTTCTTCCTTTTTTACTAGCTTTCACCCGCCCTTCTGAAATAGCTTCATCCCTGAGATGTCTACTACTGGATCAACATCTGTCATCACCTCGTCTCTAAATGCTTCGGTAAGTCTCTTTTTTGATCACATTGCGCCTGGGTAGCTTATAAACTACTCCAATAGCTGCCGCTGCTCTGCTGCACCACGCCTTTCACACATCCAAAGGTAATATGTACTTCACTTGACTTTGCTGCCCCACGCTGACTCCCTAGCCTTTGCCTTTTTGCTATTTAGTTCAGTGGGTTCGCTATCAAAGGCCCGACACAACAATATTTCCATAGGTTTATGGACCCTCTTTTGAAGAAAGAGGCTACGCCCCTTAAAGCGTACTGCGCACTGGAGGATTTGCTCCCAGTAATTTTCCCTTTATCTCACATTTTCACAGGTCAATATGGGATAAAAGCCATGCTATACAATATGCTGGTTTTGTTACATGATGCAGGTTATTACAGCACCAAGGATAGATCCTGGACAACAATGAGTGGCTGTCCAGACTTTACAAAACCTTGGAGTCCAGGTTCGGAGGATGAGTGTGCGGCATTCCTTAACAATATTGTACTGAAGGTCTACTCTGCATTACCAAGCACAGAAACTGCCTCCTTGAGATGGTGGACCGCTGCCAACTCAGTCCGTTCAGTAGAAGATGGCGGTGGCAGACAGCGTCCTGACCTAGTCTTGATGAGTGCTAGCTCTGACAACCCCACGAATGCCAAAGCTCTTCCACCAGCAAATTGGAGAAGTGTCCACGCACTGGCTGAGCTCAAGGACAGGGAGAAAAACTCAGTGCCCCTCCACGAGCAGATTTTTCAGCTGATAGGACGTGCATCATTTCCCAGAGCTGCACAAGATTGCCAGATGCATATCTTAGGCTTTGCTTTACGTGGAGCATCATTCACTCTCCTTTACATAGATCAAGGTGGTTCTATTGTAACATCTGAAATTGACGTCCATCAGCAGCCACTTTTATTTTTACACATTGTCTTGGGTTTTGCTCACAGCACAGACATTTGCATGGGGTATGATGCCACAGCTAGCCCTTCATGGCTGTAGAAATACAGAATGCACAACCTGGAGAGCCCATTCAGCACGCAGCACATCATGATCTTGAGTCCTTCTACTACATTATTTTAGCTATGTGCGTTATAATGGAGCAGCCCTACCAATTCAAGGATGAGGTGTTTATGGAGCGGGAGCTAATCAGGAAATGGCTCAATCCTGAATTTGACACCAAGTTCGCCCATGCAGATGCAGTGCATCACAAATTCACAACATTTGGCAAGGCTGATAACCTCCGTAGTTTCCTTGATGGACATATTTCAACCTACTTCAAGTTCATGATCCCCTAATTTGAACGGTTGCGTAGCACAATTTCCGATTCTGCGATGTTCATCCCTGAGAGGTATTCTGCATCAGTCAAACCTTCCAAATCAACTTCATCAGATGTCATGGGGACAACTCGGGCACATACTCGGGCACTTAATGCTCTTAAGAGAAAAGAAAGTGCTCTGGCTGCTTACAGATCTAGCCTCCCAGACTCTGCTCGTCATAAACACCAACGCCATGCTTCTTAAATTGATTTTTATCTATGTTGAATTGTGTTCTTTATACTAGTGGTTGTTTTATACCTTGTATCTTCTATACTTTAACTAGCACATGAATGGACAACTTATGACCGTAACTGGTGCATTGCCCCAAATAGCAAGACCCATTACAGATTTATTTTATCAGTGACTCGGAGCACCATTATTATTCAGACTTCCATTTCTTCTATTATGTCCTTGCCTATATATCATCATCGTACATTGGTTAACAGAAATGCTCCCTATATGTGTCCTGCTGAATGTGGAAGGTCATTTGCAACAGCTCATGCTGTTAACACGCATCTTGGCTCTGCAAAAAAATGCCTGTGGTACCGCAAAGGAAAGTTACAATCACTCGCTATCCCGCAGCCACAAGAAGATAATGGAGAAGAAGCTAGTGGATTAGACATGTTAATAGATGATGAGCATATGGAGGAGACAATTGGTGAAGTAATACAGGAGTTGCAAGAGGATCTTTTTTCATTCATTCCAATTGCACATTCTAATATTATTGATGATGGTGAGAACACAGCAGGCCCATCCCTTCATCAGAACTCAATAGTCCTGGATGACAATGAGGATGAACGTATAGAGGTGGAACATCCCACAGCTGGCAAGGTCATAAGCATGGACAAGACTTTACATCAGAGGTGGAGAAGAGAATTCATTGCAGCAGGTGGGGATGGCAAAGACGTAGAAATGGGTGAAGCTTCAGACCCCAAGTTCTTCCTCTTTGCCTCGGAGATGGATTGGAGAGTAGCATGTTGGGCAATTCAAGATGGTATAGGGCACCAGTCTTTTAATTGGCTGTTAAGTATCCCAGGTGTCAGTGATTTTATGATTTTTACAAATCTTGCTTATACTATTGCCAGGTCAGGGAGAAGCTGGGGCTTTCTTACCATAATATACATGGATTACACAAAATTGTTGACTACAGCATACCGTCTAGGGCTGAATGGAAATCAACTATGATATCTTTTCCTGATACTCCGAATGATACATACCTTGTCCAGTATAGAAATGTACTTTCAGCCATCAGGACTCTCCTTGGGAACCCTGCACATGCCAAACATATAGTCTATTGCCCAAAAAAGATTTTCACCAATGCAAGGAAAGAATCAAGGATTTATCATGAAATGTGGACGGGAAAATGGTGGCATGCTATTCAGGTGAGCATGGTTATGTATCTCCCACTTACAGTGACTTACAGAATCTTCGGAATAGGCTCGTCTACCATCTGGGCAGCCTTGGCTCCTGTTATTATTGCAATGGACAAAACCCAGCTCACACAATTCTCTAATTCTAAATCAGCCTACCCTGTCTATCTCACACTTGGCAACATACCCAGAGCTATACGTCGTAAGCCAAGCCAACATGCTTGCATACTTATAGGATATCTGTCCGTCAACAAAGTCACAGGATCTCAGCATACTGCAAAGAAAAAGTCTTCAAGGGTTCAGCGCCTTTTTCATGAGTCAATGCAGATTATACTAGAGCCTTTGAAGAGGCACCTGATTCTCAGGGTGAAGAGGCAACCAGAGAAGATGATCCTCTGTGTTGGCATGGAATGCCAGGCGTTATTCGGACCCTGGGCATGGCCACCTTGTGCCTTTTTCATGAGTCAATGCAGATTATACTAGAGCCTTTGAAGAGAGCTGGTATTGAAGGAATTAATGTCACTGGGGGGGATGGTGCTATAAGGAGAGTCCATCCTACCTTGGAGAGTCCATCCTACCTTGGCTTGCTACGTTGCAGATTATCCAGAACAATGTCTTGTGACATGTACAAAGTACGGAACATGTCCCAAATGCAAAAGACCTGCTTCTGAGCTCTCAGAATCTACTGCTGGGGAGCCACGTACACAAACCTGGACTGAGAAAGTCATTTATGATGCTAAAGTCAATGTAAACTCCTTCAATCAATTTCATGAGTGGTGCAAGGAAAAAGAGGTCTCTGGTGGTGTTTACGAGCCATTCTGGCTTAACTTCCCTCATTGTGACATTCATTTATCTGTTTCCCCTGACATTCTCCATCAACTATGCCAAGGTGTCTTTAAGCATATGGTGAACTGGTGCAAGAACCTTATGGATCCCAAGGAGCTTGACCAGCGCATTTCCTCCCTTCCTGCTTGTTATGGTGTTTGTCATTTCAGAAATGGAATCTCTGCATTAGGCCAGATTGGAGGAAAAGAGAGAAAGAATATGGCCCGCATATTGCTAGGATGTTTGATTGGAAAAATACCCAGGAGCGCTATACTTGCATACCAATCCCTTTTGGACTTCATCCAGATAGCACAGTATCCCACTCATGACGACACCACTCTGGGCTACCTTTCACATGCTTTGGACACTTTCCACAAACACAAAGATATATTGGTACGACTCAACATAAGAAAACACCTGAACATCCCTAAATTCCACTCTCTCCTCCATTACTGCCAGTTCATCACATGGTTTGGAACCACCGACAATTACAACACCAAGATGTTTGAGCGCTTCCATATCAACTTTGCAAAAGAAGGTTGGAGGGCTTCTAATAAAAGAAATGAAGCACCACAAATGGTGACATGGCTTCTGCGTTGTGAAAAGGTGGTCGCTTTCCAGAGCTATCTGAAAATGACCATGAATAATGAAGAAGACAAATTCCCTCACTCCAAATTCTAAGACCAAAGACATGTTGTCGCAAAATATCCTAATAAATGTCAGCAAAGCATTTTGGACGTCATGGAGAAGCATCAGTGTCCTGGATTTGAATCAGCACTCAAAGTCTTCCTTAACAGCAAACTAACTCACTCAAATACACGTAGTGAAACCAGATTACTACCTCTTCCATTTCAAAACCTCAATATCTTCCATGGCTTCAAATTCTGTTTAGATAGCCTAGGCAACGATGTCAACCTGGAGAATGACCAGGTAGATTCTGTCAAAGCCAGGCCAAGTGGAAAAAACAATCCATTGTCGCAGTTTGACACAGTGGTTGTGATGAATTCTCCTGATTGTGAGGCTACAGGAATAAAAGGTAATGTTTCTCTTACCCTATGACCACAAGCACGTCTAATACTAATGACTGTATTCAAGGAACAAGAATTGGGAGATTGAGAGTAATATTTAAACTACCTAAAACACTATATGGTTTCCACGCATCCCCCAATAATTGGCCAAAACATCATTTGGCATATGTAGAGTGGTATAGCAACCTCAAATCCACAGCTGAAAAGGACCACTTAATGTATGCTGTTGACAAGGTACCTCTAAACACTGAAGGTTTTCCTCCAGGACAAATCATATCTTTATCCAGTTTGTCGACTTATCCCTGCTTTTGGTGGTTTGCACGATACATGTTCTCATCATTGGGCTCATAGTAATGTTCTGGATGTTTGTCACAAATTTTATCTTAATAACTTTAGTAGAAAATATGCATATCAAACATTATGGTAGTTATATATAGCATTTTAAATTTTGCATCTATAATACTATTATTGCTTTTGTTGCTCCTGTTGCTCTTATTGCTCGTATAACACTATGGTCACTATGATCATACTATAGTTGCTCTTATAGTGCTATAAGTGCTATAGGTGCTATAATAGGCTTTATTTGCACATATGTACAAACCCCTTTACTATATAGCAAAAGGCTTTTTCCTGATGTTACTTTTTTCTCCTTTTTGGACACTTGTGCCATGTGCACTTTCCTTTTGTTTCAAACTCCACTTAGACTTTCACTTTCCCATGCTGCACTGTTTCTCCTTTATTTGTAGATACAACTGTCTCACATGATAGAGCTGGTCACACAGGCTGTGCCCAATGACATTATCAGCCACTACTTTCATTGACTGTATATTAAACATGTACAAATATCTTGTAAATGTATAAATACCCCAATAGATCAGGGAGACTCCTCAGCAAGTCCTCCTGTTGATTATCCTCAACTAACTTGATCCTATATAAAGGGGTTTATCCACTTATCCACTTACCCTTCTTGCCTGTCTTCAGTATGTGCCAGAGTCTACAAATTTTAGTTGTAACACCAAATTTATTGTGGGTAAACAACAGGAGCACTCACTAAGGAGTCTCCTTGGTCTATTGGGGTATTTATACATCTACAAGATATTTGTATATGTTTACTATACAGTCAATGAAAGTAGTGGCTGATAATGTCATTGGGCACAGCCTATGTGACCAGCTCTACCATGTGAGACAGTTGTAGAAAGAAAGTTGAAGTGGAGACTGAAAGTTAAGAGTCTAAAAATTGTGTATTGTAAGTTAGTCCTACCCAAAGGGAAACTATCCTCTCTTTCACTCACCCCTTTTTGTTTGTCATTATTGTGTGCCAGAGTATAACAACTTATAAAAAATTTTGTTGTTACAATTTCTCCTAGCTAGATAATTGTTGGCATGGAACTCTGTAACTACAAACTCCACTCCCTCCAATTGTTACAATACACAATTTCCGGACATTTAACTTTCACTCTCCGCTTTAACCTTCTTCCTTTGTTTTCACACACTATGCTGTGCGGCACTTTCCTTTTGTTCAAACCGCCCTTTTCTCACGCTACACTGCTCCCCTTTATTTCAGCTACAAGTCTCTCACGCAGTGGAGTTGGTCACACGGGCTATGCCCTATGACATCATCAGCCACTGCCTTCATCTACTGTATAGTACACATGTACAAACAAACAGTAGTAGTATATATACCCCAATAGATCAAGGAGACTCCTCAGCAAGTCCTCATGTTGTTTACCTATAACTAACCCCGTCCTATCTAAAGGGTAACCACTCCCCTCATTTATTTATTGCTTTGTCTGAGTTGTGCACCAGAGTATAAAAACTTTGGTTGTAACACCAATAGTATATAACTTATAATTCCTGTACTCTGTTGCAGTAGTTCCAATATTAATAAATTCCCCACACCTTGTTACCAAGTCCTTTTCTAAGTTTTCCAGCCCTTCTCCAAAGGGAATTTACTCCCCTCCTACTTTCATCCTCTACCCTCCCCTTATTCACTCTATCAAGGTAGGGACCAAGGTCCACGGAAGGGTTTAGTGCACAAGCTAAGCCAATACCTAACCTTGTACTCTATTTTGCAATTATGTTATAACTCCATCCTCTGAACCCCAACAATTTTGAAGGTTATGGTCCTAACAGTTGGTTTGGACAGTATCCTCTGGCCCAACCAGGTTATCTTCAACCAGCAGGCTCTGAACCAGACAGGTAGTCTAGTATGTGTGTTTTATCAGATTATCCAGATAATATTAAATATATTATAAATGAAATAGTCATGTGCAAGTATGGCCCTAGTTTTATAACAGAAAAATTACTGTGGCACATTATGGACACATACATAAAACTCCTTCTACATTAGTTTTCAAACTTTTCCATTAATTTGTATAATTTTGTTTTACATTTATTTGTGGACCTTAGCCTTCTACCTCTGTACTGAGATAAAAGTCCCTACTTACAAATACTCAGAGAATGACACTAATACTACTTTAGTTATTTATTTTACTCTTATAGTTTATAGTCATTCCTGGCTTGCTATTATGTTTGATTATAGATAATAATAATTGTTGCTACAGTTTTCTTATACCTTAGTATATAGCCTTTGTTAGTGTTTTATTAGCTTTAATATTAGTTTACTGTATAAAAGTTTATATACATTTTTATACTATATCAGCTAAACACACACACATACATAAAAGTCTAAATATTGGTTGGCCTTATATTCAGTATCTCGGTATCTTAAAGTACTAACAAAGTTGTGTACTGAGGTACAGCAAAAGTACAACAAAAGCTATAAAATATATTATAGGTGCTACTATCCCAAACTCATTCTCTCCGCAATGCTCCTATTTTCAATGATCTAAGGGAGAATGTTAGCTATGCATGCGGACTCGGGAGAAAACTAACAGTTACTTCTGTTTCCTTTTGCGGTGAGTAAAATATCATCTGAAGCAGTTGTACATTCGCTTACTGGTGGCCAGGCATAGAAGATGTCAATATTTTGTGGTGCAAATGCCAACCTGCTGCATTGCAGCTCCTGCAAAGAGGCATTTTCCCCTGCTCCCCTGTGGCTCCCACCCTTGGTGTCAATATTCAACTGCTTGAGTTTGTAAGGGTGCTGTTTGCACGGATTCCACCGAATGTAACAGCCCTAAGTGATGCTCTCAATTGTTTTTTGAGGGAAAGAGGATACCAGCTATCAGCCAAGGTATATCAAATATTGGGGTTTGACATTCTATTTGGAACTAAGTGTGATTACACAGGGGAGTCTGCAGCGTCAATTCGGCAATGCCCTGCATTGGTACACCGTGCTTGTAAGGTCAATTAAGCAGTATATCCAAGGAAGTATTGAAGAAGCTTGAGCTGTCACAAATCAGACCTTCAGTGAGGATGAGGCAAGTAAATATTTATACCAGTGCTGTCCCCTCTGCTTTGGCACAAGACTGACACCAAGTGAAGAATTGTAAGTCTCATGTCTCTTACTCTGCTGTCGCACTGAATTTTTGTTGAGCCCCAACTGTATGGTGTGCTTGGACACTTGTTTTACCCAGAAACGTGGGCGTAACGTAAATGATACTCACACTCAAGGCAGCTTTAAATTGTGTGATTCTCTGTTCTTGTCAGAAGGCAAAGTGATGAAGATGGAGGATTATGTAGCCCGTTGTCGAGAAGGCCGTCAAGCAGAGAGAACTTGTAAAGAAGACTGTCCGGGCCCATCTACAATAGATGGATACAAACAAGGCATGGCAATTCCAAAATTGGTGTTGGATGGATGTGCAGATTCATTTCTTGCTGCTGATGAGAAGCGAGAGAAAGCCAGTACAAATTTTCTCGCAGATACGGGTTTGATGGCTCTTCTTTGCAGGCACAATTGCGTACTCTGGCTCGTAAGCATGACCTCAGCAGGAGAAAAACAGCGTTATGCGCTCGCACTTCTGAAAAAATTGCTCAACAACCTCCCACGTCCCAGGAAGATTGGTGTACTTTATGATATTGCGTGTCAGCTTCACAGATCTTGCATCAAGTGGGATTTTTTTGGGACGTGACCTTCAACGTATCTCTTTTGATTTATTGGTATTCCACGCATATGGCCACCAATGGCCTTGCCAAATTATTTATCATCCATGCAAGTGTATAGGCTTTGGGCTCACAGAGCCAAATTAGAAAGCATGAAGAAAAATACTTATTTACAGCTTCAAATGAACACGCTTGCATTGAAACACCGTATCAGAGAGCATTTGCGTCAGCAAAAGTTTGAGTTGGAAAGGTTGGAGCGGTCCTATAGACGGACAGTAAGCCATAAGTATTGCATTCATCTTCATAGTTAATTCCGTGTGTGATACTGATGTTACCAGGTCGCAAGCTTCACAAACAAATCAAAGCATCTGTCAAAAGATGAGAGCCTGGTATTGTAAAACTCACGAGCTCCTATAACCGACTCTGTGATCAACTGCAGACACTGATTTGACAAAACTAGGCTCCTCGCAATGCGGTTCCCCCCCAATCTATCTCCCGCGAAGGCCTTTTCAAACTCGATGTGGATGATGATATTTGGCAAGACACCGGCCTAAATGATGAGCCAATAGATGAAGTACCTCTTTGGCTTGTGAATAACAACATACAGGAAAGTATTCGAGCCATGTTGGAGCTTGACCGATGCAAAAAAGAGTGGAAACATCTGATGGAGGAAAGATGTATGATGCAGCGGTGGGTGACGAGGAATGGAAAAATCTCTACAAGGCTCACAAAACATTTAGTAAAAATTTAAATTTTGTTTCCGCAGACAGCCAACTGATGTTAGTGATCTAGTTTGATTCAGTAGTAATGTATCACCTGGATTGCTATGCTGCGTATATCTGCAACTTGTGCATAACATGGCAAACTAAGACCCGCGCTGTTTTGTGCACATGGGTTATGCTCGAGAGCTGGGGACCATCAAAAGAAGACCTTTGCATAGCTTCATTTTTTCAATACCGTGCATTATGTGACAGTACTAATCAAGCACTTGAGCAAGTGTCTTTTGTAGATACGAGCTTTGCCACCGTCTCCAGTATTAAAAATGATGGAAGCTACTCTGAAGATGGTGAGTTATTTGAGGCAGTTGAAGATATTGCCTTTATGGATGAGTATCATTGGGGGATAGGCAGAAGTGAGACTGGTGTCGGTCAAGATTTGAGCCCAGCTCATTCACCAGTGAAAAGCTCTCCAAGGAAAAGAGTCAGATTATTGTTTGCAGAGGAATGATTTTGTGCCCCATAGTTTACCTTAGGGATTAGTAAAATGGGTTTGGTTAGTGCTCTGTAAATTACTATTTGTGGTCAAAATGGTACAGAGCTCAGTTCATGTCTTGTTACACCACAATGAGCTTAAGGTTAAATCTCTACAATATTCTTATGACCTTATGTTTGTCACTGGATTACTTATTTTCTATGTACTATGTAGATACAAATATCTAATGTTGGTCAACTCACTGAGATTCTAAGCTAGGTTTAAAACTTTGATAGAATTAAAAATGACATAACAAACCTTCTGAAGCAGTATAGAAGAGAAGTTGAAAATCCTTCATGCTATTGCTGTTAGTGCCTTGGGTTAAAGATAATGAACTTCTATGTTGGTTACTTATATGTCATGGCAATCGTCATGGAAATCAATGAATCTCTGAACTTAGCATTATGTAATGTCACATACCAAACATATTGAATGGAAGGTTATAGTAAAGTCCTCTGTTTCCAGTGTAAGACTAGGAATATTTAATTAGTAAACCAGTTTTTTAATAGGGTGCAGCTAATAAAACTAAGTGAAACTACAATAGATGTTAGTTTAAGGTGATCTCTAATAAATGTAATGTAACATACCTCAGCCGCTGCCCGAGAGGCTATAGAAATGACTGAGGTATTCCTATACTAAACCCCCTACTACTTATAGTCGGAGGTGCTACTTGCTACAGTATAATGACTCCTAGGAGTACAATTGTGCTCCTAGGAGAACAATGGTTACTCCATGGAGAACAATGGCTGCTTCGGCAGAGACCGGGTTTATCCGGTTTTGTCAGCAGCATCTTTCATTCAGCAGTTACAGTTGTAATGTCTCTTCCACTTTGTTTATACCACCAGATAGTTTTAATTAAAGAGTCCATTTGGAGCTCTCTACCTTTTCCCCCCCTTCTTCACCATAGGACCATTTTTGACCAATATCATGTCTCCACAGATAGCATTGTTATGGCATGGTATTGACATGTTTGCAATAGTGTTTACATTGCATGTACAAGGAGTCATCTGGCAGAAAACTTGATAGTACCAGCTGAAGAGACAAGGGTCTCTACTGTAAAAGCAACTGCAACCTGTGAAGATAATCCTCCAGGCAAGCATCAGATGATATATGATAAAGAAGGTTCATGGATGAGACCAGGTGGAGGTAAAAATACAGGTCTTCTCTGGTTTTGGTATCTGTCTTTGAGTATGGACATATGGTAAATGCATATATCAACATAGGTTTGCAACTGAATTCTATATTGTGGATCAAACAACATTTTTTCAATCATACTATTAGTATGCAAATGATATAATGAACCAAAATGTTACCAGTAACATGGAATAATAATATTAGACTAAATCTCAATGAAAGGCTAATTATTGTGGCTGAACTGTAGTGTGCCAATGTCAGCACTACAGTTAGTTTTATACACCACCCAGTCCATCTGTACTTGTGTTCTCACACCCTGGTTTAGCAATATGAATTTAGCTGTAATCTCTCACACTGAACATTACTAAGGACTTGGTCATACTGACCTGGAATCTCCTGTCAGATCTCTGAGGAATTAATACTCTGAAGCCTGTCACCATTCCCACTTAATCTCCTTTTCACTTGATATATATTTTACCCATTAACAATGACAAATTATGATATTTGTTTATAGTATGAGAAAACATGCATTGGCCAGGGCTTGAACCTGGGACTCCAGCTTTCATGGTCTGGTATTTTACCAACTAAGCTACCAAGGCATACTTGGAAAGCATACTAATTGGTTGCATGCCTAGAAGGTCCAGAATCACTGTACACGGGTGCGGATCCCATTGTGTGTTGTGATAAACAATACTCTCCTCCTTCCTCACCTTCAATTTCTTGTTGGTACATCATAATCACTGCATATAAACACTGTGACATTAGTATAGTTTTATTTCCACATAGAAACTTTGACACAAGTTTTTCACTGTTTGAACCTCCCACAATGAAGTCCTAATAATTTTTACTACATAAAGCTAAGTAAGCCATCAAGAATGAAAATATTGCTGATGTATCTGACCTGCAATGATAAAAAATTCCTGCAGTAAGTGCCCACAGAGTGCTTTGTAATGTTGGAATTTAGATGAGCTGTTGGTTTTTTTATAAGAGGAATGGGCCAATCTTAACCTGGCAACAATTCATAGTTAGTATAAGTTGCTGCCATGCTATGTGGCTTTGTTGAAGAATGCTCAAGGTTAGTACACCAAGTACAAAGTGTTTCCAATCACTTCAGTCAACTTATTTCCATGACCTCTTAGGTTGATCAGTTACTGTTCAATGATATGCCTAAGAGGCCTTTATCCTGGGATTATCCCATAGGCAGGTAATCCATACAGGACTCCCTTGAGTTAAGGTCTTCCAAGGACAATTTGAGAATCCTGGGACTCCCAACTGGTGTCAGGGGTCCTAGTATTGATTAAAATTTTGAGATTTGTATATCCTATATTATTACAAGGTAGGACTATCCTAGGATGTTATTAAAATTGGGGTGTTCCATAATAAGTGGCAAGGTGTACTTTAGGATTTATATACATAGTAGTCCAATTACTTCCCAGATACTCCACCAGGATGTCCTTACTATACCCTGGATGTTCTTTGGGAGTACCTGTATGGTGTCCACAATACTCAACAAGACTATCCTGGGCACTACTTGTGTCCCACTAGGCATCCCAGATGCTCTGGTAGGATGTCCCTATTATACCCTAGATGTCCTTTGATAGTATCCACACGTTGTACAGAATATCCAATGAGACTATTATTTGTACTGCTGGTGTCTTAATAGTCCTCTTAAATATTCTTATTTGTACCTGGATGTTCTTTGAAAGTACCAGACAGTGTTCAGAATATCCAAAGAAACTAATATTTGTACAATTAGTATCCCAATAGTCATCTAAAATTTCTCAATTGTGCCCTGGATGTTTTTTTGGAGTGTTTGTATGGTGTTCACAACATCCAATAAGACTATCCTGGGTCCCAATCTTACATAGGTATCCTTTAGAAGTACCTGTACACTGTCTGGAGCATCCAATGAGACCACTGGGTATCCCTGATGTTCCTATAGGATGTCCCTGCTGTACCTGGATATTCTTTACTTTTACCTACAATATGTCCAGAAGATCCAATGAAACTACTATTCATACTGTTGGTGTCCCAATAGTCATACAAAATTGTCAGGTTTTACCTAGATATACTTTGGGAGTACCACATAGTCTCTAGAGCATCTAATGTAACTACTTTGGGTATTACGTTTGTCCCACTGATACTCCTATAGGATGTCCTTTCAGAGTATCTATACCCACATGGTATCCAGAAGACCCAACAAAACTAATATTTGTACTGCAAGTGTCCTGATAATCTTAAAAAATATTCATATTGTATCTGGATATCCTTTGGGAGTACCAAATAGGGTTAAAAGCATCTAATATGACTACTTTGGGTACTAATTATATCTCACTACATCCCAGAATATCCAAGGAAACTAATATAAGTACTGTTAGTTTCCCAATGGTTGTCCAGAATGTCCCTATTGTACTTGTATATCCTATGAGATTAGCTAAATGTTATTTAAAATTTCCAGTCAGGATACTATATTTTACAAGGATAGTCTTTAGAAATACTCCCCTAGGACATTCCAGAATATGATTGGACTACCATGTATATAAATCCTAAAGTACACATTGCCACTTATTATGGAACACTTTGATTTTAATAACATCCTAGGATAGTCCTACCTTGTAATAATATAGGATATACAAATCTCAAAATTTAAATCAATACTAGGACCCCTGACACCAGTTGGGAGTCCCAGGATTCTCAAATTGTCCTTGGATGACCTTAACTCAAGGGAGTCCTGTATGGATTACCTGCCTATGGGATAATCCCAGGATAAAGGCCTCTTAGGCATATCATTGAACAGTAACTGATCAACCTAAGAGGCCGTGGAAATAGGTTGACTGAAGTGAAGGAGGTGTGATTCTACTCTGTGAGTTATTGAGTAGTCATTACTTCTCATTGTACGGCATGAAAAATCAAAATAAAGTAACTACCAGTAAAAAGGGGTAGCTATAGTAGCAACTGGTCTGAACATCTCATTGGAGATTCAATTTATCTCAATGCACCTACGGGTTGTATTTGAAACTAAGATCCAAGACTGGAATTCAAGACTAAATAGAATTGAGTCAAAGAGCTTGGAAAAAAAGAAGAGTACGCACCCTGTCCAACAATTTTGCAATGATACATTCTTGCCCAATATCCTCAGGTACATATGCTAAGCAACTGAAGTGCAAAACTATATCACTCAGCTTTAGTATGCATGGGTGGAATTTGAAGTGATTGTAATACAATTGGGTACCCAGGTTCTCAAAGGCGAGAAATAGATCCTTATCCTTGTCTGATGGAGAAAAGCTTTCATATTCTTAAACTACAAGAAATTTTTCATTGGTTGAGCGGTCCATGACTGCAACACAGTGATGTAAAATATCTGGCATGTTTGTCCGGCGGTAATGGCTCCAGCAACTGTCAGAAATTTGAACAGCACAAATGAGTTTCTGAGAGAACTCTTCGGAGTCGAGAATGAAACTCCATCCAATTTCACACTTTTGATGGATCAAGCCTTGTGATCTAGAAGGTATATGTTGGTACCTTTGACATCATTATCCCATTGTATAAATTATAATTGATATGGTGAAGATCCAGCATTGAGTTTGTCCAATAAAGCTTTGTACACATCTTCAGATAATTCCATCCAGTCAGCTATACTAAAGATTGAGGTTGTTTCATAGCTGAGGAAATTGCTGAGAAGGGAGCTATTAGGCTCAATAAAAGCTTGGTGAAAAGACTTCATCATCAAATCATAAAGTTCAGTCTGTGGAAATTTGATGTGGGATGCAAATGCCCTTAGATTTGCTCCTATACAGAAATATTTTAGGAAGCTTTTCTCCATTTCTCCTGAAAATAGCAGGCACATCAGTTTTTATGCACTAGAGTTCTATGTCCATACAAACCTGGTTTTTGATTGGAGTTTAGGTTATGAATGATCCCATTGTAGTGCTCAAATAGAAAAGCCCACCAACTGTGGATGGGGCTGAATAATGATAGGCATTTATCAAGGTGGAGCGAGAGATGGTGGTTTGGTTGCAGCTGATGGTTGGCAAAGAGCTCACAGAAAGTCTTGAGTTCGCAAGTCATGTGGAAGTTGTATAATGTGATTCAGGTAGAGGATGTCAAGTGTTTGACAGAGATTTCAACCGCTATTACAAGATCAATGAAGTTACGCAGGAGGAACTTCTCCTTGCTGATTGAAGTAGCAACTCCCCATGTTGGTATGAGAAATGGGACAAGGCTCACAATACATACAGTACACCACTAATTTACCTTCAGCTTTCCGTGACTGGGACTTCCAAAATTATGGGGTGGCTGAACCATCCATGACGGGTATGACACATTTTTTATATTTGCCTGGATCTTGTTTAGGTGCTCCTTAGGGGGAGGCAGAACTTGTACATGTCTGGATGTTCCATTCCTTGCAATACAAAATTGGTTGTTGCATCATTCAGCACTATTGGTATACAAATATTTCTGCCTGGATTTTCATAGTACTAGGAATGAAAAGCGTGAAAAGTAGTCAGTAGTGCTCAGATGTCAGCATAAATATGTCTCACCCAGTTTAACAGGGCATTTATATATGCTGTTTTTTTGAACAGACTTCACTCTACTATGACTTCATTGAGGATAACAAAAGCCATCACATAGCCTTTACGCAGCTGTTTCAAAGATTTGATGACAGCTTCTTGATACCTCATTGACCCTTCTTGATTTTAATTGCCTGTTGCTTTGGGCTGTGAGGTTTTATCTTCTTTGGGTTTTTTTCACTGCTTTTGATATCAATACCCCACACCTGCCTACAGTAATGCTGAAATTCACCTAAAAACAAGTTATGCATAACATCTAGCATGGTAAATTTTGTCACATCCCAGTAGGGTAGGTGAAGGAGTTTGGACTAATGCACCAACCATGACAGTTTCCGCTCAAGTTTGTTCTACAGATAATCCTTGATCTGATAATACAATTCAAGTTGGCCAAGCAGGCATTGCAGCATTACTTGAACTATTAAAAAAAGGGAGTACATAACACATATTCAAACAAAATGAAGACCTTGGAGTCTATATACAGCAGCATATACACATGATAAGGCCATGATGATTGCAAATTTACAGCCCCAGTAGAACATACACCACTGCAATTTTGAAAATTCCCACCAGTTTCTAAATTGGTAAGTGATCATCAGGTTTTCTATGGAACACCATTGGCTCCAACCTGAAGTGGGATGGCCTACTAAAAGGTAAGCATATGATCAAAAACATCTAAAGAGATGACTAACTAGAGGTGCAGTTATGTGTTTCAGCGAGGATTTCACACCCCTCAAGCTGGCATGGGGACTGGACACAGGACTCAGGGTAGACTGAGTACTAGTGGAATTCTTGCGTGGACGTTAACAAGTCAGTGGGCTGTTGCTCTTTTTTTGTGAATTGCTGGTTTTAGACATGGTTATCAGAAGCTTAGGAGGGGAGGTGCTAAGGTGCAGATACGGTGAGCTTGTAGTCTTCCCAATTTGGGTGGATATTTGTACTAATATCACAATGGGCAACACCCTACTTGTATATGTGAGAAATGGACAGGACCCCAAAACTCTATTAAGAACAAAGCTTGAAGGAAGTGTCTAGCCACTTGCTGAGAGCAATCAGGGACTGGAACTAGAGTCCAATGTGAGTAACTAGAGAATAGGAAGCATTGGACTCTGCAGTACTGTCCAAAGTTTTGTAAACAAAGGTAAACAAAGCAGCCACAAAGGCGAAATAATAGAGAACACAATCAATAGTGAATGATAGAAGAATAGATAGAGAAAGGAATGAAAATATATAGGTAGCACAAAGGTGCAGAATCACCAAAACTAACAGGAACTTCTCAATCTCCAGCCGTCCACACTTCTCCTTCTCTATGACCACTATTCAGCACTGGTAGCATTGTTTTTGACTTGTACTTACCTTTGGGGGTCTCGTCCTTTCGAGGTGTGTAGGTCCCGTCCTTTTTGAACTTTTTCTTCAGACCTTTTCTAACGTCTTCATTGTCTCCCTTGCCATTGGAATCTTTGTTCAGTCCTCTCTTTTTTTTCAACACCTTCTTTCTCATCCTTTCAAGCTCCGCTTCAGCTTTTGCCAACTTTGCTGGAAGGTCAGGATGCTCTACTTTGCTTTGCTGTTCTGCTTGACTGTCTTGACTTTGGTCTAGATTGTGGTGTTTGTTGCCCTTGTCCGCTCTTTCCCTTGTCTCCACCTCATGAGCCTGGCTTACATTATCAGCTATTCCTTCACACTCCTTGTCCACCTCCCCCGGCTCTGTATCAATTTCCTTGCCCCTTCCACCGCCCCCCCTACAACCGCCAGTCCCCTCGCTCCCTCTGTTGGTTGGTCCGCCCTTGTCTTGCTCTCAGCTACTATCCCTCGCATAGACTTGCGGTGTTTACCTGCCTAGACTTGGCCCCTGCTACGTCCACTCATTAGTAATTTACCCTTCAGATGGATCATCTCTTACTCACCTATTTTTGCAGCTTCTAACTTTTTTTTAGCCCTCTCACAGCCATTTTTAAGCGTAACAAGTTCGGACTTTGCAATACTCAAAGAGCCTTCAACAGGTGAGCTCATATTGTCAGCTGGTGAATCTGCAAGGCAGAAGTCAAACATTATACCTACTCCACCACCTTTTTGTTTCTTATCCCTCTTACTAATGATTTCCTTGATTTCAGCATTTTTTTCAGTGATTCTTTTTTCAAAGGCTAAAACAACATCCCACAGATCCTTCTGGGTAGGTTGTGCCTCTAATAGCCCCCAAAAAAAAGATTAGTTTACTGACTTGTCTTTCTTTAAATCACAGCTATCCTCACCTTGGTTTTGTTCAGTAGGGACATCCATTTGGATTGTATGGGCTGGCAAGGAGTTTGTGAGAGAGAGGGAATGAGGTTACCGCTACCAGCAGAACACTTACATTCACGACATTATGACACAAAATATGAAACAAATTTCCATTGATTGATTGACTCGCTAGATTAAAAAAAGGGTAGCCCGAGCCTGGACTAGTCCATCTTTAGTTTACATGATATTCCTAGCACTGTGACTCAACAAAGTGCCAGTATGGTAGCTATGTACAGTACTGTGTGGTAATACCATGGTACTGCTACAGTACAGCTCAAAGAAACCGATGAAAATGTTAGGACCGACCATATCGCCAAGAGGGGTACTGTAACAACCAAGAGTTAGTTACTCTGGCACACACAGGAACACACTATAAAGGTAGTGAATGGGAAGTGGTTACCCCTTAGGCTGCAGAGAGTTTGTTGGTTAACAACAGGAGGACTCGCTGAGGAGTCTCCTGGATCTATTGGGGTATATATACTAATACAGAGTGTTTGTACTTATGTACTGTACAGTTGATAAAGTTAGTGGCTGATGATGTCATGGGGCCTAGCCCGCATGACCAGCTCCACTGTGTGAGAAAGTTGTATCTAAAATAAGAAGAAGGCAATGCGGTGCGAGAAAGAGGAGTTTGAACAAAAGGGGAAATGCCGTGTGGCACCATGTGTAAAAGTTAAAGTGTACAAGGTTAAAGCGGAGAATGAAAAAAGAAGGAAAGATCCAAAAATTGTGTTATTGTAACACTACCCCCCTTCTAAGGCTCTACTTCCAGGCGAAACCAAATACCGGAGGTGGTAGTTAAATTTTTGGGCATAGTTTGAAAAAGGGAATTGAAAAGTTTTGAATCCATGCCTCTAAGCTTCCTAGGAGCTGAGGGATTCTTAGAATAAAATTCGCGAACAGCATTGCAGGAATTGTCCAGATAGGCTTCTGGTTCCCATGCTCTGTCCTCGTCTCCATAGCCCTTCCATAGGACTAGGAACTCTAATTTGCCATGCTTCAAGCGTGCATCCACCACCTGTTCAACTTTGAACTCTTTTTCACCTTCCTGGGTGACTACAACTGGTCCGGGCCGGTCTACACACTGTCCCAGCAGCGGCCCTTTGTAGGGTTTCACACGGCTAATATTGACCATGGGTACTACCCTCATTCGTTTTGGGAGTTCCAGCTCCACTGTGTTTGGTTTGACTTCCTTAATCTGTTAAGGGCCAATCCATTTTTTGGTCAGTTTTCTAGACTGCCAATCTTTTAACTTTAAATGGTCGGTATCTAACCAGACCAGGTCACCGACCTTGTAGTCAGGGGCCTTAGAGCGTCTATGCTCTGCCCTGTCTTTCATCTGCTCTGCAGTTTTGAATAGTGCCTTGCGCGTTTCGTCTAAGACAGCCTTCATGTCTTTGGCCATGTTCCTAGCAGCCTTGTTCTTGCTTTTACCAGGCTCTACACCCATTCTGGGGAGGTACAATCTAGTAACCTCGAATAGTGCCTTTCCTGTAGCCGACGACTGTTTGATATTATAAGAGAACTGGGCTATCTTTAGCCACTTGGCCCGGATGGAACACCGTTGATAACTTAGGTTTGATGCCCAGCATCCGGCATAACTCTTTTGTAAATTTGCTAGCAAATTGGGGCCCTCTATTGGAGATAACCATTTCTGGTAACCCATGGATAGACCATACAAAATCTTTAAATAAATCTGCCGTACCAGCGGTGGTAATGGTTTTATTGGTGGGTATGAATACCACTTCTTTGGAGAAGCGATCTACTACCACCATTATTGAATCATACCCATCTGACTCGGGTAGATCTGTTGTGAAATCAACCGCTATATCTTGCCAGGGACCGGCTGGTATCGGATTCGGCATAAGTTTCCCGGCCGGCGGTTGATGAGAGTTTTTATCCATGGCACATCTCAGACAGGATTTTACGTATTCCTGTACGTCTTTGACCATGCCAGGCCACATGTAGTTTCTGGAGATCAACTCCATTGTTCGTTGCCACCCAGGGTGCCCAGCCACTGGAGTGTCATGATGTCTATCTATTGCCTTGATCCTTGCGGACTCAGGCACATAGATTTTGTCTTTAAAATGAAGGAGCCCATCTTCCCATAAATAGTTTTCATTGCCATCAAGGCGCGCCTTCTCTTCTGAGGAGATGTCTTTCTTGAAGACTTCCAAAAGATCAGAATCCTGCCCAATTCTAACATTGGCAACCCTGGATTGGTCTATCAGGGTGACACCTTTGTTATCATCCTCAATGCCATTGGCATGATCCTCTCTTCTGGATAAAGCATCCGCTTTCCCCATTGAGCTTCCCGGCTTATGAATTAATTTATAATTAAACCTTGACAAGTACACCGCATAGCGGGCCTGTCTTTGGTTCAGGTCTCGGGCCGTCATGAAGTACTCTAGGTTCTTATGATCGGTCCAAATTTCAAATTGGTGCCTAGCACCTTCTAAGTAGTGCCGCCAGTGCTCTAAAGCTCTAATGATGGCCAGCATCTCCTTGTCGTAAATTTGATAGTTGCGCTCTGTAGGCAACAAACTATGCGATAAATAGGCGCAAGGCCTCCAAAGATCATCAGGGCATTTGATCGATAAAACAGCCCCAGTGGCGAAGTCAGAAGAGTCGGTTTCTAACCGGAACTCTTTGTCTAACTCAGGAAATGCCAATATGGGCGCTGTTGTGAATGCCTGTTTAAGCTTATCAAAAGTTTCTTGTTCCTTGATGCCCCAGTGCCAAATGATGTCCTTTTTTGTGAGATCATTCAACAATCCCGTGATTTTTGCAAAGTTTTTGATAAACCTTTGGTAGAAATTGCTTAAGCCAAGGAAGGCCCTAACTACTTTGACGCGAGTAGGTTCTGGCCAATCCAAGATAGCTTGAACTTTCTCAGGATCCATCCTGATTCCATTCTGGCCTATGATCATACCAAGGAAGTCTACTTCCTTCACTTTAAAGTTACATTTTTCGGGTTTGACAAATAGGTCCCGTTCCTGTAAGCGTCGAAGGACTTCTTGCACAATCCTGTCATGCTCAGCCTCATCATCCGACTTCGTAAACATTAACAAATTGTCAATGTAAATGACGACACAGTTTTCCATATCCGCAAAAATCTCGTTCATCATGCTCTAGAAAGTTGCTGGTGAGTTGGTCAACGCAAAAAACATAACAAGGGGTTCGAAGGATCCTCGGTGGCACGTGAACGCGGCCTTCCAAGCATCTGCTTCTTTGATTCATACATTATTGTACCCCCATTTGAGATCCATCTTTGTCAAGATCTTGGCACCAGCCAATTTGTCTACTAGCTGATGTTACGATCTCTATTGAACATTTAAGGACTGCTCATTTCTTTTTACTCATCAGTTATACCATCGGACCGATGACTTATTTCCTTCATGTATACTTCCGTTCCTCTCGCATTCACAGTACCTATTATAGTACTTAGTCCTCAACGGACGGACCTGCCCTAGATAGGACCTAACTCCTATCACCAATTCCTTTCCATTATAAATACCATGTAACAGCAGTAGTATACTCCAATACAATTCTACGCAGTTTACGCTTACAAAGCTAGACTCCTAAGATCAGACTTCTACTCAGAAGAAGACCAACTCTCATTGGAAGACCTCCACTCAGAACTACGTTCTCGAACTTGTCTTTGGATAAGTCTCTTTATAAACCTCGACAAACCCTCAGACTTTGTTAAGCACTTCGTGCATAACAAAAGAATTGTATTCTAACCAGAAGTCCCACCTATTTAGGTTTGGGAAGAAAAAGTCAACAAGACATCGCAACAACCAACAACCAGATCCCAGAGAGCAAGAGGAAGCTCAGACAACCCACAAACAGCAACCCCACTGACGTCATCCCGACAAGAAAGGATAGCAGCACCACCTCCCTTTCCCCAACCAGACGTAACCCGACTCCACACCAGAGAACAAGCAGACACTTTCTACAAAGCCAGAACACGTTGGCTACAGTACTATGCAGGAAGCCACCCACAGCTACTGCCCACAACACAACACAATCCCCCAGTAACTGTAGAAAACCTCTACGACGAGAATGACTTTGAAGAGTTTGCAGCAAGCGGCGACCCAATACCACCTCCCACTCCACAGATACTCCCCGCCGCACCTGCTCCATCCCACATCCCACCACCACACACCATGTCTAACGCTGCAGCCCCAAAACCCACAATGATCGGGAAAATTGATGACTTCGATGGAACCCCAGATAAAGCCCAAAGGTGGATATTGTCCACTGATCTACACTTTGGGAAGCCCCCACACAATCCAAATCCTGACAGATCACAAGAACCTGACGTACTGGCAAGAAGCCAGGAAACTCACACCACAACAAAGAAGATGGCAGCTGGAACTGTTGCAATACATGTTACGATAACACAATTTCCGGACATCTCCTTTCTCTTTTATTCTCCGCTTTAACTTTATACTTTAATTGCCACGCGGCATTTCCCTTTCTCGCGCCGCGTTGCCTTCCTTTTACTTTTAGACTTAACTCTCTCACGCAGTGGAGCTGGCCATACGGGCTAGGCCCTATGACATCATCAAAGCCACTGCCTTCATCAACTGTATAGTACACATGTACAAACAACCTGTAGTAGTATATATACCCCAATAGATCCAGGAGACTCCTCAGCGAGTCCTCCTGTTGTTTACCAACTAACTCACTGCAGCCCAAGGGGTAACCACTCCCCATCTTCATATTCCCTATAGTGTGTTCCTGTGTGCGCCAGAGTAGATCACTCTTGGTTGTTACAATACAATTACACCTTGGAGCACGTACCAGGAACCCACATGGTGGTACCCGACGCACTCTCAAGAAGACCTAATTTATACGTCAAAACAGAAGGAGACAACAATGACACACCAATGATACCCACCTCAGTGTTCCTGTATCACACACAAACAATTAAAAACACAATCAAGCAAGCCATGCTCACAAACGATAATTATCCAGGAAGAACGAAGGAAGATGATTGGAGAAAAGAAGAAGGACAGTTCTTTTATCAGAATAAATTACTGATTGACGAAGTAGAAGAATAAAAGACGACCATCAAAGATCGCCACAATTCCCTGTCCGCAGGACACCCAGGAAGGCTCAAAACCTACCAGTTGATCAAAAAGGCCTATTGGTGGCCAGGGATGATGAAACAAGTGGAAGAATATGTGAAAGGATGCGCAACTTGTCAACAAGCAAAAGTAAACACGCATCCCACCACCGTACTATTAATCCCAAACCAGACCCCAAAAACCACAGAACCAATGAAGTACCTATCCGTAGACTTCATAACTGATTTACCAGAATCTTCAGGATACAACAGTATAATGGTCATGGTAGACCAAGGACTTAGTAAGGGGGTAATCCTCTCACCTTGTCATAAAACCATTGACGCACTCAAAACCGCACGAATCTTTCACAATTCTATCTTCAAACGATTCGGATTGCACGATAAACTCATATCCGACAGGGGACCACAGTTTGCCTCTGAAGTATCCAAAGAACTCCACAAACTCCTGAATATTGAAACTGCACTCTCCTCTGCGTATCATTCCCAGACAGATGGACAAACAGAACGATCCAATCAAGAACTGGAGATCTACCTCCGCATATTTTGCCAGAACCAACCACATAGCTGGGCAAAATACCTTACAACCGCCAAATTCTGTCACAACCAAAGACCATACTCCACAAACAACCAATCACCATTCTACCTCCTCATGGGATATGAACCCCGAGGAATCCCAACTAAACACAGATCCACAAATGTCCCATCAGTGGAAAGACAATTATCTGAACTACTTAGGGCAAGGGAAAACGCCCTAAAAGCACACGAACTCGTGAGAAGTAAGATGATGAAACGCAACAACGGAAAGTTCACGTGATTCTCCAAAGGACAAAAGGTGTGGTTAGAGAACACCAACCTGCGAGAAAATGCTACCGAATACAAGAAGTTCAACATGAAACGCATTGGACCTTTCCACATCCAAGAAAAGATTTCCCCGGTGAACTACCGACTATCCCTGCCTCCCCATTGGAAGATACACAATGTTTTCCACGCATCCCTTCTCACACCGTATACGGAAACCAACACTCACGGCCTGAACTTTATCCGACCACCACCTGACCTGGTCAACGAAGAAGAGGAATACGAAGTAGAAAGTATTCTTAGACACAAACCCTGGAAATGCGGGCGCCGCTACCTGATTAAATGGCGCCATTACCCTCATTCCGAAAACTCATGGGAACCGGAAGAACATTTAACCAATGCCTCTCAACACAAAACATGTCTACTTCTAACTCCACCGGCTTCCCTATCACCACCTACTCAATACCCAGCGATGCCAACTTGCTAGCCGACGAACGAGTGTCTTTTGCCCGTGGGCAACAACACAACCAAGCCGACGTCACTGACGCCATAGAATTAATGTCGGCAAAAGACGCCTATACCTATCTCTTTTACGAGACCAAAAAACGCTGCCCCCATGTGTATCACACTCTTTCTTCCATGCATACCTTCCTTGCCATAGACCTCATAGCTGACGAACTCCTAAAAGCCATAGACTCAATACATTCGTTGGAAAACAAGCATTCGTGGCTCAACAGTCAGGACTTGAGTATTGTCAGGCAACAAATACGAAGCTATATAACAAAACACAATGCCTGGTCAAGTCCTTGCTGGAAGGCGGTGAATCAGGGTATGAGGTTGAAGAGTATCAGTATGAGCGCAAATCCAAACTAATATTGAACTAGAGAACAGTACATCAAGTATGTACTTCTTTATATAGTGAATGGAGATGGTCAGACCAATAAAGGGAAGAATTGAGAAAGTGGTCTGACCAGCCAGCTAACCAATAAGAAAAAAGGAGAAGGTGGTCCAATCTATTGTATTTACTAATCGTATGAGAAAATGTATTGGTAAGGGATGTGCAATTGGCTGTATCAGTAAGCCCATGAGAAGGCGCTGACTCACAACCTTCTTCACTTATCAATATTCCTCCGAAGTATTCCCAGACATAGCACTGGATTGTTACTATGTCATTTGGATATCTTCTTGAGGGTCTACAACAAGTCTCCTTTGTTGTAGGTACGATAGGACGTGAGTGTGAATAGAGAATAAGAAGAAAAAGGATAAAAGTAATAAGACACCTGCTGTAATCTCTAGTCCAAGGGCAAGAGGAGTGACAGGGATCGAGTCTGCTAACCACGACATGACGGGAATGCAATAAGAAAAATCGATTCCTCACATTAGCTCCCCTTTTATAAGGCTTGTGTCCTCATGAGTCCGGATGTGGCACTCTGGAACTTGTTGGTAATCCAGTCAAAAAGCATTGGAGATTTAGAAGTGGCGGTGTAGTTTTCGTAAGGACGGAAGTGAAGAGAAGCAGTAATGATCCGAGGGGCGGCGGGATTCATTTTGTGGAAAGCGGCAAGTAAATTAGCGACATGTGTAAGATTGGTGTCGGGTTCCCAAGTGCGTTTGGAGACTGGATAACCATGCCAGTGAATTAGGTAGTCGAGCTTACTACCTTTCAGTTTAGTTGGTCTGGAAGCGATTATACTCTCTACTTCGTATTCGTCTATTCCTTCCACAATCTCGGGTGGTGGTCGCGAGGAAATTGGTTGATTGAGGAATTCGGGAGCGTGGTATGGTGAGAGAATAGCTTCGTTGAATACGGGATGAATGGACTTCCAGCTCTTAGGGATGTCGAGTTGATAGGCGGAGGGTCCAACTTTTTGGGTGACTTGGAAAGGCCTGAAGCGTTTATCGTCTAATTTCTTCATTGGTCTATCCGTTGTGATGTTGTGTCCTTCTATCCAGACTTTATCACCAACTTGATATTCCCGGGAGGGGGATTTCTTACAGTCGGAATATTTTCTTAGATTATCATTTGCTAAAAGAAGGGAAGATTTCGTGATGTCGTGGAGTTTTTTCATCTGTTCGCCAAATTCTGCCGCAGAAGCGGATTGAGGGGATGGTGTGGTTGTGATATTTGTTCTGGGGTGTAGTCCGTAGTTCAAAAAGAAAGGTGTTTGATTTGTTGCGGTGTGGAGATGGTTGTTGTATGTAAACTCAGCGATGGAAAGCCAGTCTGCCCAATGATTTTGTTGATGATTTATGAAAACGTGGAGGTAGTGCTCTAGATCCTGGTTGATCCGTTCGGACTGTCCGTCTGTTTGAGGGTGGTAGCCTGTAGAAAGGCCTGGTGTTATGCCCATTAAATCATAAAAGTCTTTCGTAAATCGAGACATGAATTGAGGACCTCGATCCGAGATGATCTTTTCAGGGATTCCGTGGAGCCGTATTACATTGTCTTGGAGTTGATGTGCGTAACCAGCAGAGTTGAGGGTGACAAACGTAGGGACAAAATGGGCCATTTTGCTAAATCTGTCAACAAAGACCTGAACGGCGGTGTAGCCCTTGGACTCCGGTAATGCACCTATGAGATTGGTGGTGATAATCTGCCAAGGCCAATCTGGTATCGGGTTTGGGTGTAGAGGGGCGTTAGGCTTTGTCCAATGTGCCTTGGTGCGTTGACAACTCTCGCACCCTCGTACATATTGTCTGATATCTGTACAAAGACTCGGCCACCAGAGCTCTCGGTTTACTCGTTCAAACATTGTTCTTTCTCCTGGGTGTCCAGCCAGAACTTCATTGTGATGATCTTTCAATATTTGCGCCCGTAATTCGTGGTTTTGGGGAACGTATACGCAGTCAGCTAATGGGATCAGGTAGGAACTCGTCGCGTATTCTCTTTTGATCCAGACGATCCTATCCTTCATCTTCCAGGTATCCGGCTTCTCTTTCAAGTTCTTCTTTACTACGTCGTCTTGTTTCTGGAAGCTTCGACGTATTGTTACGATAACACAATTTCCGGACATCTCCTTTCTCTTTTATTCTCCGCTTTAACTTTATACTTTAATTGCCACGCGGCATTTCCCTTTCTCGCGCCGCGTTGCCTTCCTTTTACTTTTAGACTTAACTCTCTCACGCAGTGGAGCTGGCCATACGGGCTAGGCCCTATGACATCATTCGGCCACTGCCTTCATCAACTGTATAGTACACATGTACAAACAACCTGTAGTAGTATATATACCCCAATAGACCCAGGAGACTCCTCAGCGAGTCCTCCTGTTGTTTACCAACTAACTCACTGCAGCTCAAGGGGTAACCACTCCCCAAACTTCATCTTCACTTTAGTGTGTTCTGTGTGCGCCGGAGTAGATCACTCTTGGTTGTTACATTAGGACTCGCTCTCATTACTCTCTCGCACGTTAGTGCAAAAGTCCCATTGGGCACCCGGACTCCAGGGTGAAGGAGATTGGCTAGGGTTAGGAATATCCCAAATAGCAGATAGGTGCGCTCCTAGCGACGGCCTTGTAGTGCTCAGGGAGAAGAACCCAAACCTTCAATACGCGGCCC